GAGAGAGAGAGAGAGAGAGAGAGAGAGAGAGAGAGAGAGAGAGAGAGAGAGAGAGAGAGAGATGAAGTGGGGTAGAGGACGAGAAGGAAGATGGGGACTTGGAGTGTGGGGTATGATGGTGACAGCGATGGCGATGGCGTGGATCTCCTGTCTGTTGAACTGTTCTTTGCCGATGCCGACGACTGTGGAAGCAGCTGGCTATGATGACGCGGGCAAGCCGGAGATATGGCGCAACGACCTCAAGTATATCCGATGCGATGTCTGTGAGGAGGTTTCTAAACAATTGGCCCGACAAGTGAAAGCCAAGCGCGAGGAGTATTCGCACAAGAAGAAAAAGGTGTTCCTCTTTTTCTTTTTTCTTGTCCGTTCTTTTTTTTTGTCCTATCAAACGGAGAAAAGAATAAAAGGTGTGCAGATCTGCTGTGCCCCTCGTTCCCCAACCCTTGGGAAGCGTAAGGGACATCTGCTCTCTGAAGCGAAGGAATGTTTCTTCCCAGGCTGCAATTAAGTATCTATAGCCCATCTTCAATCACGTACTCATGCCTGCCTTCTTTCTCTCTCTCTCTCTCTCTCTCTCTCTCTCTCTCTCTCTCTCTCTCTCTCTCTCTCTCTCTCTCTCCTTCCCGGCTCTCGGTATGACTCCCGCATTCTCCCACCTATTAATCCTCTCTCGCTCTCTTTCTGTTTCTCTTCCTCTCTCTCTCTCTCTCCGTCTCTCCCTCTCTCCGACTCTCCCTCTCTCCCTTTCTCTCTCTCTCTCTCTGTTTCCCTCTCTCCCTTCCTCTCTCTCTCTCTCTCACGTCTAAAACTTAAGTCTCATGAATGTATTTTGTATGCCTTTCAACTCTGTCTCTCTCCCATTCTCTCTCTCTCTCTCTCTCTCTCTCTCTCATCTACAACTTAGTTAGGTTTCATGAATGAGTCTCGATTGCCTTCCACTCTGTCGGGGTCTCGCGGGGTAAGAAGACGAATGTTGAGGTTTGCTACACTGCACAATATTGTAGAGGTGTCTGGACCGTGCGACTGCCCAGATACATGCAGAATGTTGGATGTGTCCGAGTGTATCTGGTCGACTTGCAGTCCACATACATTCATGTGGAATGCCAAGTAGTCGAGCGAGTCTCTTTGTTCGGGAGAGGAATTGATATACAAATGTCGCCTCCGCATCCTGATTGGGGAAAGACGATAGCCCTCACAAGGTCTCCCCCCCCGCCCCCCCCGCCCTCCCCGCCCTCCCCGCCCTCTCTCTCTCGCCCTGTGCTCTCTTCTCTCTCTCCCTCTCAGCTTGCTGTCTACTCCCTCTATACTGTCCGTCTCCTCTCTTTCTTGCTTTTTCGTTGTTGATCTTCGTCCTCTCTATTTTCCCCACGTCTGTCTGTCTGTCTGTCTATCATTCCTTCTCTTTTTTCCTGCTCATGTCCTCTGCCTTCATGTTTGTCTTTTTCGTCCATCTGTCTGTCTCTCTGTATCTTTGCCTGTCTGTTTATGCTGTACTATGCGCCTCTCTCTCTCCCTCTATCTATCTATCTATCTCTCCTGTCTGACTTCTGTCTGGCTTTTGACTCTGTTTATGCCGTACGACGCACGACACTTGTCTTTCTCCTTCTCTGTTTTGCTCTCTTTCTTTCTCTTTCTCTCTCTCTCTCTCTTTCTCTCTCTCTCTCTCTCTCTCTCTCTCTCTCTCTCTCTCTCTCTCTCTCCCGTGGCCGTTTATCTTCTTCCCTCCTCATCGTTATGCTTTGTTTTCTTCTCTCTTTCTCTCTTTCTCTCTCTTTCTCTCTCTTTCTCTCTCTTTCTCTCTTTCTCTCTTTCTCTCTTTCTCTCTTTCTCTCTTTCTCTCTTTCTCTCTCTCTGCTCCTTCTCTCTCTCTCTCTTCCTTTCTCTCTACCTTCCATAGTGGCGCACTCTCGTTGCCGCCTTTTTTCCGTTCCCCTCCTCATTCTCCACCTTCTGTCGGTATTGCCGCCATTTGTTTCTGTTTTTTTTTCCCGCCATTTTTTTGTTTGTTTGCAATCGTGGATTTTCCCGCCAGATCACTTGTGTTCTCCTTCTCCTTCTTGTTCTCAACCCCTCCTTCCCCTCATATCCACCTGCCCTTAACTTTTTTTTGTCGTTTTCTGGGTCTATCCACCTTCCCTCAACTTTTCTTTTTCTTTTTTGGGTCTAGCTCTACTACAATTCGCTAAGTTGTTTGCCCTCGAAGGTATCTTACTGCAATTACGACCCGATTCATATGTATTCCGCTGCCCACAATGGGCATGGGGCTTGCTTCTTGTTCTGGAACTCGCCTATTTACGGCCTTGTTGGACCACTCGCCATCCGTAAAATTCTGAATGAATGTCAACAGGAAATTTGACTTGATGCATTCAAATGTGGGCGGATGGCGAGTAGTGCAACTAGCCCTTTGTGCTTGATAATGGTATTCTCTGCTGTTTATATTTCTTAATTTGCTTACTCGAAATTTATTGTTACATTCAGCCTCCTGATGCGTCAGTTTGTCACAGCCCCTCCTCGTTTGTTGTCCTCTTCTCCCTTCCCTCTCTGCCTACGGTGTACCGGGCAGCTCTGTGTCATATATAAATCATCAAACAGAGCTGCCCTGTAAACCGTAGGGACAGAGGGAGGAGAGAAGAGGACAACAAAACGAGACACAGAGCTGCCCGGTACACCGTAGGCAGAGAGGGAAGGGAGAAGAGGACAACAAAACGAGGGGCTGTATATATAGGATCCGTTTTTGGTGCTATTGCTTGTTGCCCCATGTTTTATTGTATTTGGCTGTTCCCTTCCTCTTTTCTTTGCCTCTTTGCCCTTTGGCTGTGTGCAAGTGGGTCGATATGACACACGGGGGTGGGGGCAGCCGCCGCTCAGCTTACATCCACGTGGGCGGCCTTGTACGCAAGAGGTTCTTTCTGAACAGGGGGAGTTGTAAGAAAGAAGATAAAAAAAACGAATTATTGTTTTCTTGTCTTCTTCTGTTTTTTTTTGGCCTTTGCGCTCTCATATTCATGTGACGATATCTATCTATCTATCTATCTATATATTGTATATACTCCGATTCACAGTGTGACAATATACATCGTCAAACAAAGCTGCCTACGGTAAACCGTAGGCAGAGAGGGAGGGAGAAGAGAGGACAACAAACGAGGAGGGGCTGTGACAGACAAGCTGTTTCGTCGGAGTTTCACCAACAGACTCATCAGGAGGAGGATGAACCCTCAACATTCTGCAGCAGAATCCCTTGTTAACCGATTACACTGTTAAAGTGATAATCCACCTTAACCCCGGTGGTGGTTAAGCATCATCAACGACTGCCCGACAACTGATACCCCTCTGAGGTGGTGGGGACCACCAACCAGGCCTCAAGGTACCTGTGACGAAAATCAAAGCGGACTATCACTCACCCACACCAGATGGAAAACTTTACAGACTGTCGGTTCACACCCCATCAATCACAAGCAACAAGCAAGCAAAACACCCACGAAACAAAGAAAGGTCTGTCACAGCCAAAAAATACACTCTAGATACCGGCCTGGTCAATAGAATCTATCAGGTCAGGAGCAACAGTAATTGTAGAACAGATAAAAGTATTCGACACTACCAACAGAAAGAAAAAAAAAAAGAATCAAAAAATTCAAAAAAGTTCTTTGGTTTCTTTTGTTTATGCGGTTGTGGAGAGGCCGCGCCCTCTGCCACCGATCTGAAACTGACGTCCTTCAGTTCTTTTTTTTTTTTTGCTTCTTTAGTTTTTTGGGAAAAACTAAGCTATATTCTTCTCTCAATTTCACCTTTCATTACCTACATACCGCTGCTTTTTTTTTTTTTTTTGGAAAAATTAAACTATTGCCGCTGCTTTTTTTCTTTTTTTTTGGAAAACGTAAACTATATTCTTCTCTCAATTTCACCTTTGCCAACCTACCTACCACAACTCCCAAGCCTTATACAGGGGACCCCAGCATGCATAGCTACGTCTCACAATGAAGGGGATGCATGTGGTCCCCCGCCCTAATCGACAGGGGTCAGGGAACAACGCCCTTCAGTTCTGGCCTGGGGTGGGTTGCTTCTATTATATTATCAAATTTATCACAGGAAAATATTAGGAATTAAAGAGAGTGTAGTAGGTTCTGAGTTGTTTGTCCTATCTGCATGATGCCGTGCTTTGAGTCTAGATACAGTGATAATGGTGCTGCTGGGTGGTTGCGCAAAATGAAGGGGGCTGAATGCCGTCTAACTTTAGCTTCTTGCTGCTTGCTTGCTAGCGTCTTCAGCCCAACAGAACAACGCCCGGTCATTATCACTGTATCTAGTCGCAAAATTGACCCAAATACGCCGCTATAATGATCGTTCGTGCGTTCTATTCCGGTTGAAGACGGTACTATAATGGTGCTCTGTTGTCTCCCGCTCATAATAATGGTCATCTATATTTCATGATGTAGGGCTTCTGTCTCTGTGTCTGTGTTTGTGTCTGTGTTTGTGTGTGTGTGTGTGTGTGTGTTGCTTGGCTACCAGAGTGGCCCGGAATCACTTGCCCGGCCGGGCCAAAAAAAATAAAAAAATAAAAAATCTAGTTAATGTTATTTTTATATTTTATATTTGGTAAGGAGTTTCGATGTGACCCTGAGGCAAAAGTTGCTCAGTTTCTCCATAACATAGTCTTTTTTCGTTTCTTTTTTTTTTTTTTTTTTTTTTTTTTTGGCTGGGACCTTCCCTGGTCCTTGCACGGCCGGGCCGCGCCGGAAAAACAAGGTGACCCGGGGGGCCCGGCTGGTAGCCTACATGTAGGTGTGTGTTGTGGGGACGTGTGTTTTTTTTTTTTTTTTTTTTTTTTTTTTTTTTTTTTTTTTTTTTTTTTTTTTTTTGGCTGGTAACTTCCTTGGTCCTTGCACAGCCGGCCCGCCCGGGAAAATAGCTGTCTCTTATACACATCTAGATGTGTATAAGAGACAGGGGTAGGGTAGGTGGCCTATCCTCTTAGGACATCC